TCAAATTCTTAGAGAATGGGCTTTCAATGGCCAGGCCAAATCCCAAATGATTTTCTCCCACCTTCTTGTGTTCATTCCCCTGAGACCCAGGTTCCTACCTGAATGGCCACCAGGAGTGGGGTCTGTCCTCCCCACCATGGCTGCCGCCACCGCCACCGCCATCCAGCCCCGCAGGGTCCATCCCAGCTGCAGCCCCTCGTGCGAGTCAGGCAGGGCTCTCTGGTGCCCTTTATCCCTCCCTCTCTGGGCAGGGCCAGTGGGAGGCGGGGCTCTGTGGCCAGGCCCACCCCTTCCCAGGACCCCAAGCCAGCAGATCAGAGGGCTTGAAGGGTGGAGGCAAGAGGGCCGAGGACCAGGGATGTCGGTGGGATGGCATGAAGGCCTTCAGAAATCCCTCGGTGAGTCCTGCAAGGAACTGCGGGTTGGTGTAAGTACTTTAAGGGTCCAGAAAGGCAGGGTGACTGGAGAGGGGCTCATGGGGACCAAGGACCTGGGAGCTAGGAGGTTGAGTCCTGGGGCTGGTGTCTGAGGGGAATTGCTAACTGAGGAGGCCAGAGGGGAGCTTCCCCCAAAACTCGGGGCAGTGTGAATCCCACATGTGGAGCTGAGGTTGATGGACAGGTCAGAGGGCGGGCTGGGAGCCTCTGGAGCCTCCAGAGATGGTATGAGCCAGGTGAGGATGCAGGGAGGCCTGTCAACTGGCCATGACCTGGACAGACCCAAGAGGCTCTGGGGACCTGCCTCCAGGCCCGAGATGTTCTTCCTTCAAAAAGTCGCTGTGCCTGGTCTGTGTTTGTCATGGGAGCCAGCGTGTATCCTGGTCAGAAGGCATTAGACTAGAGCCGATGGCTCAGCAGGGGTCCTGAGAGGTGACCGGAGGGGTTGCCTGAGGCGCTCTCCAATGAGGATGTTCCCATTGGGTCAGCCCATCAGCGGGCTCTCCTGGGCCACAGAACTGCCTGGTGGATTCAGAGCTAGCAGTGGGAGGACATCGGCCTGGGCCTTGGAAGGTGGGGGGTAGGGGAAGGAGGGCCATGAGCTTTAACAGCCCTTCAAGCTCTGACTGTTTCTAAGACACCCTCTACTCCCATCTCACTCCTCCAAAGCCAACGCTCTCTCCAATATGCTGCACTGTCCCACGAGGGTGGTAAATTGGGTAAATTTGCTGTACAACAGCAAATTAGAGGAATTTACTTAAAAATTAAAGGAGAGCCCCAACTGATTTGGCTCAGTGGACAGAGCATCAGCCTGCGGATTGAAGGGTCTCTGGTTCGATTCTGGTCAGGGGCACATACCTGTGTTGCAGGCTCCTCCCCGGCCCGGGCCCTGGTCAGGTCTGGTGCAGGAGGCAACCAATCAATGTGTTTCTCTCACATTGATGTTTCTCTCTGTTTTTTCCCTCTCTCTTCCACTCTCTCTAAAAATCAATGGGAAAATATCCTCGGGTAAGGATTAAAAACTAAGTAAATAAATAATTAATTAGAGATTTTAAAATTGAATTTAAACAACTTCCTATGTTTATCAATAAACTGAGACACTAGATTGGGAAACCAATAGTCTCGAACATCTAGTTACTTCTTTAACTTTTGCTGGATCACAATTATTTAAAATTTTGTCATAGGGCTGCCCGTGTGCTGTCTATGAGGCTGTGCCAGTTTGTACGCCCACCAATAGCATGAGGGAGCCTGTCCCTGCACAGTCTCGCAGCACAGTTACTGAACGGTTTAGTATTTGTTAGTTTGGTGAGTAAAAATCTGTATCTCGTAGTGGTAGGGTTTTTTGTGGGCTGGTGACATGGGCTGTGAAAGAATTCACAACTAAAAGAAGAGATACACGTAGAGAGAAAGGGCCAGTGCATTGCTAATCAATACAAAGACAAGGAATAAAAAACTGCTCCCGCCTTTTCAAGCCTTGGACAAGGAAGGAAGGGGCATTTTCGGGCTGTTGTTGTTGCTAGGTGACATTGAGCAGAAAGTAGGGGGGGTTGTCTTTGTTAGTTTTTTATTTTATTTTATTTTAAAGTATATATTTTTATTGATTTCAGAGAGGAGGGCAGAGGGAGAGATAGAAATATCAATGATGAGAGAGAATCACTGATGGGCTGCCTCCTGCACACCTCCCACTGGGGATCAAGCCTGTAATCCAGGCATGTGTCCTAATGGGGAATCGAATCGTGACCTCCTCGTTCATAGGCCGATGCTCAATCACTGAACCACTCCTGCTGGGCTACAGTAGACTTTTGAAAGCTCTATCCACTTCAAGATTATATAATTTTCTCCATCTATTTTGTTTCTTGTTTTTTTTTTTTCTTAATATTGTATAATATATCAAGTTTATCCATTGTCCTGTTGATGAACGTTTTGATTGTTCCTAAGTTTTTGCTATTCTTCAATGAACGTAATTTGGTGGGTTTGACTCTAGGGCAGTGGTTCTCAACCTTCTGGCCCTTTAAATACAGTTCCTCATGTTGTGACCCAACCATAAAATTATTTTCGTTGCTACTTCATAACTGTAATATTGCTACTGTTATGAATCGTAGTGTAAATATCTGATATGCAGGATGGTCTTAGGCGACCCCTGTGAAAGGGTCGTTCGACCGCCAAAGGGGTCGCGACCCACAGGTTGAGAACCGCTGCTCTAGGGTATTGTCTTGGGTTGGTTTCTCCAGGAAATAGATTTGGAGGTTCACCTGCAGGACACTCGCTGGGGAGTGCTCTTTGGAACAGCACCTGGAAGGAATCGAAGGCAGCAGGACTGGGTAGTGAGAGAAGCTGAACTTCAATGTAGTTACAACAGATACTTCAGCTCTGGGGCTGGGCGATCCTTCAAGTTGTTCCAATTGCGGTGAGGAGGCTTGTCCTCATGCCCCCATGCTGGCTACAGGCAAGGCAGCTCCCTTCAGTAAGAGCAGTTTCCTGAGAGGAACTCAGCTGTCGCTCAGCAGCCGATGTTCCCAGCAACCCTGGGATTAGTGCTGGGTCCTGAGGGCTGGGACCCGGGGGATGCCCACAGCATCGCAGGCACATTTTAACTTACTAGATTTTGCTTAAGTGTTTTTCAAGTTGCTTGTGCCAGCTTCTGCTCCCCTTTGCACTATGAGAATTTGTATTGCTATTTTTCCATCTTGGTTTTCCTGGATTATTTTCTGGGTAATTTCTCCGGTCTTTCTTGATGTGCAAAAATGATCTCTTTGGCTGCTTCTAATCTGTTTTTTTAAATATTATTTTTGTCAATTCTCATTCAAGGACATCTCCCCCCTACCCCCCACACATACACTGACTTTTATTTATTTATTTTTTAATATATTTTTTATTGATTTCAGAGAGGAAGGAAGAGGGAGAGAGAGATAGAAACATCAATGATGAGAGAGAATCATTGATTGGCTGCCTCCTACATCCCCTACTGGAGATCGAGCCCGCAACCTGGGCATGTGCCCTTGACTGGAATTGAACCCATGATCCCTCAGTCCGCAGGCTGACGCTCTATCCACAGAGCCAAACCAGCTAGGGCTACACGCACTGACTTTTAGAGAGTGTGGAAGGAAGAGGGGTGGGGGGAGAGAGAAACATGGATCTGAGAGACACATCTACTGGTTGCCTCCTGCACTCACCCCCACCAGAGCCAGGGATCAAACCTGCAACCCAGATACGTGCCCTTGACTGGGAATCGAACCTGGACGGGGCGGCGCCGGCCATGCCCTTCCCAAGGCCTGGACGGGGCGGCGCCGGCCATGCCCTTCCCAAGGCCTGGATGGTGCGCGCTGGCTATGCCCTTCCCAAGTCCTGGATGGTGCGCGCCGGCCATGCCCTTCCCAAGGCCTGGATGGTGCGCGCTGGCTATGCCCTTCCCAAGTCCTGGATGGTGTGTGCCGGCCATGCCCTTCCCAAGGCCTGGATGGGACTCGCTGGCCATGCCACTTGCTGGCTGAGTGAGCCAAGCACACTCCCTACTCTCATCGTGCTTCCTCACCTGTAAAACAGTAGGAAGTTGTATTGCCTCGGAGGGTTGTGGTGAGGATGAGAATTGCACAATGCCCGGCACAAAACAGAAGCTTAATAAAGAACATCCCTAGTGATAGTGACGGGACCGGAGTGACACGGGGCTCTCCCTTGGCAGCGCCCGAAGCCAGGAACAGAACACTGGGTCTGAGACTGAGCTGCACCTCTGGATGCGTGAAGTCTAGTTGATTGGTGTCCTGTACTCTTACCTCGGTAGCATCAGGGAGAGGACTGGCCTTCTGCAACTGAGCCACAGTCCTCATCGATTGTCTCCCCCGATGGTGTAGGAGGACAGGGAGGTGAGAAAAATAAACCAAACGAGGAGACGACATCGTGAACCAGGCGCTCCATTTCAGGGACGCCCCTTCCAAGCCTTCCTCCTCCCCCCTCCTATTCCCGTGCCTGTCACTCCCAGCGGAGATGAGTCACATGGCTCTGGCCAGCCTGACAGGGTGGCGAGTGCGAGACGACCACCACCTTAACCTGTGGGCTGGATGGGACCGCTCCCCTCTGGCCGGGGGTGTACTTTATGCTCATTATTCGCTGGCTCTTGCTCTTCCCCTGCTCCTCTATGCTACAGGGACTAGGGTCCTGCAAACCACACCCTTAGCTTCCGTTACAGCTGCTTTCCCTCCCCCATCCTCCCCTTGGCTGACCAGGGCCTGGTCAACAGGCTGGAAGACAGGAAGAAGGGAGACTGTCCCTCCCTGCCAAACTGACGGCACTTCTGGCAGGAGCAGCTGAGTTCCAGATGTGTCATCCCCTTCACACGCACCCCAAAGTCCCTGCAGGAAGGGATGGCACCTTCTCAGTCCCCCACAACCCTAGCCGACTGACGAGTGGCGAGCAGAGGGGGTGAGAGGGAGCTCCACAAGCCAGGACCTGCCAGCATCCCGAAGTCTCATTGGCCAACTGTTTCCTTCCTCTCTGTGCACCAGATACGGAGGAGGGGGAGCAGATCAGCCCCCAGGAAAAACACACAGAGAACTGAGTCAGCCCAAGTCAACTCTTAAATACTTAATTCCCATTTATTTAAAGTTCCATCAGTCTGTGTACACTATTTATATTAAAAACACAGGAAACTGGGGCTCCTAGCAAAAATATACATTTCCATTTTGGAGATTGTTCAGACACTGAGAAGAGCTGTATTCTCAGCACTAGAGCTGGGTGTGGGGGCGGGCAGGGGGTGGGGAGGCGGAGGTCGGGCACAGCGCCTCTCCCTCACAGTGCTGGCCCAAGGGAGCCCCCTCGGCCAAACCTCGGTCAGCGAGGGTAGGATGGGAGAGGGAAGCCAGTAGGGAGTGGTCCTGGGCATGGAAGGCCACCGCACTGGCAGGGCAGGCACTGGCTGTGTCCTCTCTCCAGGGCATTTCCTCCCACAGCTGCAGCTGGACAGAAGGCCCCTCCTGAAGGAGGAGCAGACAGGACCAGGAAGCCTGGGCTCTGCACCAGGTTCTCCGAGACCCTAGCCAGCCTCCTCCCTGGCAGCAGCCTGGGCGCTGAGTGCCCCTGCGGAGGGGAGTGGGCAGGGGCCGGGGAGCGGGGTGGCCTGGCAAGGCCCAGTCACCAGGGGCTGCGCAGGGTGTTCCAGGAGACCAGCTGGGCTGACACAGGGAAGGGAGGGTAGCAGAGCTGTGGGCACAGATGGCTGTCTCCGTCAACAGGACCAGTTTATCCCTGGCACCTTCCCCGTGAGCAGGTGCTGGGCTGACACAGCAGGACGCCCCTGCTGACCAAGGATGTGGCCAGCCCTGGAACAGGGGCCCAGGCCTGCCCGTCCACCTGCAGGCCCCTCTGGGCATGCATCCGCCTAGAGAAGGGGGTGTGTGGAACCTGCAGATAAAGTGAATCAGTGCTTGTGGTGTGCAGCGGAGCGGCGGCTCCAGGAGTGTGTGGCATGAGCTGCAGTGAGCTCGAGCCAGTGCCAGTGCCTCCTGGGTGGAAATAGGACGTCATCGGGGGTGAGGCCAGTCCCGGCCCTGGGGAGAGGCAAGGGCTGTGATGTCGACAGAATATAGGTGGTAAGGCTGCTGCAGGCTGGGGGGAGGGTGGGTGTTGATGGAGGGCAACCCTGAGGCCTGCTCACTGCTTCCCTGCCAACTTGCACCTCCCTGGAGGCTCAATCCTCTTCATGGGGGTGTGGGGCCCCCACCTACAGGGAACCCACCTCCTTCCAGGCTGGGGGAGGTCCCGCAGCGGCCAGCGCAGGGGGCCATCAGCAACACTGGCCCGGAAGACCGGTGAAAAGACCAAAAAGGATGTTGGTTTGAGTGGGGCTGGGGTACATGGCTGAAGTGGGGTTGGCTGGGTCAGGGGTGCCAGCCTCAGAGTGGGGTGCGTGACAGTTTCAGGGAGGCATCCTGGCCTTCAGGGCAGGGACCCAGCGACCAAGGCCACTGCTGCGGTCGCCCAGGTCCTGCTCGGCTTCCCCAGGAAGCCGGGCCCAGAGCTTAGTGTTTCTTTGGGCAGCTCCAGCCTTGCTGTGAGCATGGAGCAGTGAGGCCCCTGCCCCTGCAGACGGCTGGTGCGGAGGGCAGGCCACTCCCTCTGCACCGGGGCAGGGGGGCAAAAGCAGAAGTCCTGTCCTATGCTGCTGGTGAGATAATACCAACTGTCTCACAGGAAGACAGAGGGACAGACAGGGGATGGGGGGAGAGGGAGGGCCAGGGAGGAAGGAAGAGGGAACCCTTAGAAAGGAAGAGAAAGAGCAAAGAGAAGAACAAGGAACGGAGAAGGAGAGAGGGAGGAAGGGACCATGGGGAGCGAGGCGTGGGTCTGTTTGCAGACGTGTGTGATCAGGCGCCATGCTGAGTGGGCCTGTGGCCAACGGGGAAGTCCCATGTGGCCCCTGTTCAGCGCTGTCCCTGCCCCTGGTTCTCGGCCCCGAGGCCTGCTGGGAGGCCCTGGCTGTGCACCTCAGTACATGTCCTTGTAGATCTCCTGGAGCAGGGGATGCAGTGAGGTCTCTGTCTCGGTCTTCTTGATCCGCTGCATCATCTGGGCATGCTCGGTGACCAGCTGCCGCAGGTCAGCCATCTTCTGCAGCAGCTTGGGGAAGAGGTACTGGGCGTCGGGGTGGTTGGCGTGCAGGTGAAACTCGAGGGCACGCAGGATGGTGTCCTGGATGGCCTCCACCTGGGACACGTTCATGAGGCCTGGCCGGTCTGTGGGGACACAGGGCCCAGGTATGGGAGGGAGCAGGCACGCACGGGTCTCAGGTGGCGGAGGAGCGCCGCTACCCACCCAGCATGGGGGCCTGGCTCAGGGCACAGCAGGCCTCCTGGCCGTGACAGACCTGAGCCCCGTCCTGCCAGGGACAGTCCCCCCTCCTTTGCTTTCCTGGCTCAGTTTAGTCTCATGGCTACTCGGCCTGAATTCACATCCCAGCTCTACCAGGCAAGCGGTGAGGCCTGGGCAAGTAGCTCAGCCTCTCTGGGCGCGTTTCCTCACCTGCAAACTGGGGATAACGGAAGTACCTGTGCACAGGTGGCTGTGAGGATCAAATGAGTTATAATTTGGGAAAGGGAACTAGAACAGTGCTTGGTAGGAAGTAAGCTCTACGCCAGTGTTAGCATAGTAATTATTACAGTTATTGTGTTGGAATTGAAAAGTATCAGTAAAATACAGAAGATTCTCCACCAGCAAAAACAGCCCCATCAGCATGTTGGTATGCGTCCCTTTGTTCTTTTTCTATTTCATCTCCATCTACCTAAGACGGAGCGGGTCCTGCACGTACAGCGAGCGGTGCCTCACACGTTCCCCTGCCATCATCACACGCACACTTCCCCACGGTGTCCGACCTCGCTTACCTCCGCACAGAATGATGGCCGCGATGAAGAGAGCCAGGTCACTGTCGTCGAGTTCCAGGGCATTGAACTTGACAGCAAACTCGAACTTGGGCTCGATGATATCACTGAAGGGCTTGCGGAGGCTGCGCAGGAACTCCCGGGTGACAAACCCCGTGCCATTGGCCACCAGCAGCCCATCCTTGTTGACGATGGAGGCCAGCATGGCGAAGATGGCTTCGTGCACTCCGTACTTGAGAAGGGTCACCTGGTCGTTGAGGAAGAGGTTGCCGAAGCTGGGGATGCTCTTGGCGAACTCGGTGAGCTCGCGCACTGTCTCCACCGTGGTGCACTGGCAGCGGTAGAAGACGTGCACGCTGATCTCCTTGTAGGGCGGCAGGCCGTTCACCAGCTGCTTCCACACCAGGCCCTTCTCTGCCTGCCACAGCGTCTCGATGTCGTGGATCACAAAAGGCTGAAAACCAGGCCCCATTAGAGGCCAGGCCTCGGGGACCCCACATGTGCTCCCCATACTCCCTGCCTGTACCATAAAGTTAGGGGAGGGAGGAGGTCCAGTTCTCCCAGGAGTCTGGAGGGCGGCAGGGCCCCGAGCCAGGGACGCCGCCGTGCGAGCAGTGACACTCACCGCGGTGTGGCTGGTCTTGCCGGTGAGGATGCCGCGGGCCTTCTTCTTGGTCATGTTGAAGTTTTTCAGGTAGGCGTTGTAGATGTGCTTGGAGAAGGCCTTCAGGTCAGCCACCTGTGGGTTGTGCTGACTCCCCTCACTCGCCGTCAGCCCTGCCACCAGCTTCCTCTTCTCGGCCTCTGGCATCCGGCCAAAGCGGATGGCTGCATGGGGAGCAGGGGTGGGGGGCAGGAGTCATTGAGGAGTCCATGCAGGGCCAGCACCCCTCACCTCCTCATCCCTGCATGGGCCAAAGGCCTGAGGAGTTCTAGAGGCAGCCAGCTGGAGTGTTGGGGGACCCTCCCGAATGTAAGCTCCAGGGGCAGGGGTCTGTCTGTCTGTCCTGTTCAGTGCCCACACACAAAGGCCCTAACTCATGGAGCGCCTCGCCGCGCAGCCAGGAGGGGTGTGGGGTGGCAGGTGGAAAGTCTGGTCAGCGGCCTGTGCCCGAGCCCCAGCTCTGCAGCTTACTCGCCTCGTGACTCCAGACGGGCCACTTCGTCTTCTTTCTAATCAGAGAAGCTCACTGACTGTCAGAGCAATTAGACAATTCCCCTTGTAAGCACAACTGTCGTCATTAGTAATGGAACAGGAAAAAAACCTGGCTTCTCTCAGAGAAAAAGCGAGAAGAATCAGTCAGCCCTGAGATCTCTTGGGGAGTCCCCTCACTTCAGCCACGTAATGGGGCCCAGGCAGATACAGAGGGGAGGGATCAAACCACAGACCCCCACAAACCCATCACCTAAAAAAATCTGCAGACGGAGACTCATACTGCCCCCCTTAAAGATGCAAGGCAGTCAGTGCATCATCCATGGGTGAGACATTTAAACAGGAGGCTCTCCCTGTCCTCTGGGGGTGTGACCCAGAGTAGAGGGGGCAGGTGGGCTCTGCAAAATCCTACTCTATGGGGTCTGAAGACGAGATGTGCCAGCTGCCAGGAGCCTGGAGCACAGGGCAGGGCAGGCTGTCTCCCAGAGGGGCTGGCCTTCAGGAAACGCCCGCCTGCTCCTGGCAGCTGGCACATGTGGCCATTTGCTGGCTCCTGCCTGCCCTCAATAACCAGGAAGGGCAGAGGGGGCCTAGGCCTCTGCAGGGGCTTTCCATGCTGTGCCAGGCTGGAGATTCTGGGAGCTGGGGTCAGTTCCTGCTCTGTCTGGGCCAGACAGGGTGAGCCTCAGGTAGAGAGCTGGGGACAGCCCGCCCTGGCCCCCACGGGGATACTGGCGGTCTGGGGAAGGCAGATCTTGGGCTAGGCTGTGCTGGCTCGGAGATTCAGGTCCAGATCAGCCAGGTCAGCAGCGGACACAGCAGGGCCCACGGCGTGCCCGGCACACGGAGGCGCCCTTTATGCGCCGAGACTGGCTTCACACTGTGTGGGGCCGGTGGCCGTGCTCGCGGCGGGCTCTCACCGTTGTGTGACATGCCCAGTGCCAGGCACTTCTGGAAGCGGCAGTACTGGCACTTGTTGCGGTTCTTCTTCTGAATCTTGCAGCTCCGCTCACACTTGTCGTATTCCAGCTTCATGCGGATCGTCCGCCGGAAGAAGCCCTGAGGATGGTGTACAGGGAGGAAAGGCCACAGGGAAGGGAGAGAGCTGGGGAACCCTGGACCATGGGGTGTACTGGGGCCCCAGTGTGCATGAAGATGTAGAAACTCCTGAACTCTGGATATAGGGGGGGAATTTGTTGGAAGGAAGTGGGAGAAGGTAAACAACTCTAAAACTCCTGAAATAATTAAAATAATATGCCATATTATGCATATTAAATATGCTTCTTTGTTAATTTGGTAACAAAACTGTATCATGACTAACTTGATTTATTCATAAATGTATCTGGTTTTGTGTATTTCCTAGGTAATGGTTTAATAAAATAATATGTGAAAATGTGATGGTGTGCGGTGAGGAGGAAGAACCCAAAAGAAATGCAACATTTCTTTTTTCTCCCCTCAAAGAGCCTTCTTCAGGCTTAGAGGTGCAGGAACCCGACCTCAGGAAGCAGCCCCAGCCTAAGACCCGCCCCTTTCTGTCCCGCCCGTCTTTCCCAGCCCGGTCCCCAGGGGGCGCAAGAGGCCAGGGAGCCCAGGTCAGCGGCTGAGTGCCTGGCAGGGCAGCCCTGACAGGGAACCCTCCTCTCCAGCAGGCCCAGAGCTGAGGCTTGGAATGAGCCCAAGGCCCTGGCGGCTGCCCAGGCAGGAATTCCGCCGTGGGTATTATCAGGGACCCACCCCTGGCAGGGAAAGCCTTTTTGGCAAGTTAACTCACCATGTGGCCACCGCCCTGCCGGCCAGCCAGCACCCCCACTGCCCCTACCTTGCAGCCCTCGCACGCATGGACGCCGTAGTGGAAGCCCGACGCCTTGTCCCCGCACACGCGGCACTCCATGTTGAGGCTGCTGCCCGGGGCCCCGTCACAGCCTGTCTGCAGCTGGTCCAGCAGCGAGGGTGGGGAGGCGCTCCGGGAGAGGTCTGCAGACACACGACACGACACGACACGACACGGCGCTTCACATTCTGCCAGCTGAGCCCGTTTCTCACTCACACAGCCCTGGCTCAGCCATTTAAGAGCTGTGTGCCACGTGGGCCAACCTTTCTGAGACCAGTTTCTTTGTCTGGAATGTGGGGCTGACAGCATCTCTGGGAGGCTGGCAAAGTTTCCAAAGCATCCCCCCAGAGTTGGCGCAGCAGGTATCCCAGAAATGGCAGCTCTGCCTGTGGGGGCTGAGGCAGCGCCTTCCTGGGCTGGCCAAGCCCATGGAGAGGAGAGGGTATGAAGGGATGGCTGTGTTTTGGGAGGAGGGAAGGAAGCAGATATTGATATTTATTTTTTAAAAATATTTTTATTGATTTCAGGGAGGAAGGGAGAGGGAAAAAGAGATAGAAACATCAATGATGAGAGAGAATCATTGATCAGCTGCCTCCTGCACACCCCCTATTGGGGATTGAGCCCACAACCCGGGCATGTGCCCTTGACCGTTATCGAACCCAGGACTTTTCAGTCCGCAGGTGGACACTCTATCCACTGAGCCAAACCTGATAGGGCAGCAGAGTCTCTTCAGATTGTCCTTAGGAAGGGGCCCACGTGGGGTGTGGAGTGTGTTTTGAGAAGATGGCAGAGTGCAGACCTGGAAAGTCTGATTCCTGCATGGACTGCACAGACACTTGTAAAGGCACTCCCAAGCTCAAGTTCACTCCCACGAAACGTGCTCACACAGGAAGAGCGTAGGTGTCAGCCACACTGGCTGGGCAGCACACTGAATTTCCAGTGTTTTTCTATGAAATGTACAGATGTTTGAACCAGGTGCTGACTTAGCAAGGAGAGCACTTGGCATGGCAACGACTTGAGGGCATACACACCGTCGAAGGACTTAGTAAGAACGGCTGGGAGTCTCTTCTGAATCTCTCCTTTGTGCACTCAGGAGTGAGCCCTGCCCTTGGAAAGGGGCCCTGCACTGAGCCCCAGCCTCCTGACCCTCCCTGTCCTGCCTCTGCCACGCCAGTCTGCCCATCTGCTGCTCTGCTGTCTCCCTGATGACCAAGCAAGTGCTTGGGGCAGGGTCCAAATCCCACATCAGAGAATTGGGGCTTAGAGCAGACAGCTCTAAGGGAGACCCAAGCCCAGACGTAACATTTTCCACTCCACAAAAGATCTAATTTTCCCCACTGTGGAGTGACTTCTCCCCCTTTCTCCTTGCCCCCCTTCCTCCCCCCGCAACCCCGGTCCAGGGGTGACAGGAGGAAAGCTGCCGTCCGGCCCCCATCCTGGACACAGAAGGGGAGCACAACCAGACCACAGCAGAGGACCACGCCTCTGCCCTCCCTGGCGGATGAGGCAGGGGTGACACAAGTTCCTGGTCCCTAAAACTGCCTGCCCTGTCCCAAAGCCTCAGCTCCGAACCTTCAGTCATTCCAAAGGGTACAACCCCCAAGCCCACAGATGGGGAGAATGGGCTCCTCCATCTCCTGGGCAAGGAGCTGCAGGGAGACTGCAGCCTGGGAGGGCAAGGCTGCTGGTCCAGCGGACAGCCTGTGTTACTCAGTGCTGGGCTCTGCCACTACAGTAGGGCCATGGGCAGGTCCTCAAGCTGCCAGGGCATCCTGGCCGGAGGGGCACACGGCCTCTCCTGGAGGCACTGGAGCAGGGGCAGAAGTCCCATCCCAGTCGGGAAAAGTGAGGCACCGTGTGAAACCCTGAGCAGAGACCTTGTGCACTTCCTGCTCTGTCTGTGGTCTGTGTGCACGTGGGCTTTGTGGCACTTGTAAGCATCAGTGTTGTTTCTGTGGCTGCACGTCTGCCTCCTGCTAGACTCGGAGCGTCCCGAGTCACGTCCCCTTTAGACCTCAAGCCACAGGGACCAGTCGCCTCAGTGTTCCCACCTCTTGGTGCTTCCTCGTTCTCCCTTGTGGCCCTGGGGGCTTGGCAGTTGTCTGGTCATTTGGTTGCTACTGGTGCTGCATGTGGCAATGCCACCCTCTCTGTTTTTTTTTAATTTAAGTTATTGGGATCGTCAAGTTTTATTTATTTTCTTTCAAATATATTTTATTGATTTTTTACATAGAGAAAGGGAGAGGGATAGAGAGTTAGAAACATCGATGAGAAACATCGATCAGCTGCCTCCACTGGGGATGTGCCCGCAACCAAGGTACATGCCCTTGACCGGAATCGAATCTAGGACCCTTGAGTCCGCAGGCCGACGCTCTATTCACTGAGCCAAACTGGTTAGGGCATGTTTTTTTTAATTAAAAATATATATTTTTTATTGATTTCAGAGAGGAAGGGAGAGGGGGGGAGAGAGAGAGAGAGAGAGAGAGAGGTAGAAACATCGATCAGAGAGAATCATTGATCAGCTGCCTCCTGCACACCACCCCCCTAGGGATGGAGCCCACAACCCAAGCACGTGCCCTTGACTGAAATAGAATCTGGGACCCTTTAGTCCACAGGTTGACGTTCTATCCACTGAGCCAAACCAGCTGGGGCTGCCACCCTCTCTTTTCATCCAACAGACATTGACGAGCACATGCTTATGCAGGGCAGGACCCAGACCCTGCCCTCAACTAGCAAAGGTAAGAAAGGGGTAAGAAAACTGGAGCAGTGCAGCGAGCGGGCACACCAGCCCAGGCAGGCAGAGTGGTGCAGGGCTGCGAGAGAGCCATCACCCGGGCATGAGGGCCAGGAAGGTGACTGCTCCCTCTCTGGCCCTAAAGTGAGTGCTTTGGCCCTGGCTGGTGTTGCTCAGTGGGTTGGAGTGTTGTCCTGTACACTGAGGGGTTGCAGGTTCAATTCCCAGTAAGGGAACCTCCTAGATTGTGGGCTTGATCCCTGGTTGGGGCAACTTGTTTCTCCCTCTCTCCCTTCTTTGCTAAGATACAATAAAACATCCTTGGGTGAGGATTAAGAAAAAGGTGCATGCTTTGGATCAGTGGTCCGTGAGATCTGAAAGGTTGGCTACCGCTGGTTTAGGGAAACCTTTGAGCAGCGGTCGCCAACTGCTGGTCTGCGACCATTGGTGGTCGGAGGTCTGAGAGGCTGGTGACCGCTGCTCTGGATGACCTCCAGGCTGCTTCCAGGAGCTCAGGCAGCAGCAGGCGTAAGAATGCGGCCCAGGAACCCTGCAGCCCAACTTCAATCAGTGTCCTGTGCGCAAAACCCAGCTCTACCTCTGGGCCTGTTTCTTCCCCTGTAAGGGGAGGACAACAGTATCTGTCTCAGGGTCACAGTGAGAATCCAGGAGTTAATACAGAGAAAGCTCCTGGACTCGGAAGTGCTGTGTAAATCCCAGCTCAAGCGCGGGTGATGCTCACTAGAAAGCCGCCACCCGCCGTTTCTGAGCCTGTGCCCCACACAGGCGGGGACCATGCCTCTCTCTTCCTCCTCTGGTGTCTCTTTCCCCTACAGCTTCACAGAAACCCAAGATGTGTGTGTGTGTGTGTGTGTGTGTGTGTGTGTGCGTGTGTGTGTGTGCGCGTGTGTGTGTGTGGTCTCTGTTTACGAGCCTCCGGAACAAGACCCAGCCACCTCTCTCGTCGCCTGGCCTGCTGCTGGCCCCTGGATCAGGGGTGTCAGGACTACCCCAAACCCTGGAAGAAGCCAAGATGCCCAAGCCCTACTGGTCATGGAGTCAGCCAGAGCTCTGGGTTGCGAAGTGAGACCCATGCAGAAAGAGCTGCAAACTGCACTGGAGAGAAACAGGTCAAGGGCGGGGGATGGGGGTCCCTGGGAGAGGTCCTGCCCCAGGGGGTGAACAGCTGAGGCTGCTGAACTTGAGGGCAGTCAGGGAGGCCTGGCGGTCTCAGGGCGACAGGACAAGGCACCCCCTGACTATCTGAGAAGAATAAGGAAACAAATGACTGGTACACCAGGCAGAGAGAGGCAGGGTGAGCGGCGATGGGTGGGCAGCAGGCAGGGCACGCATCCCGCAGGGGTGCCTTTTGTTGTGGGGTGTATCAGGGATACTGAGGTGGTGGTAGTGTTGGGATGGGTTTCCCAAAGATAAAGGTTTCTTCCTGGATGCCCACCTGGCTTAAGGGTTCATCCTCAAATCACCATCACATCCTACCTGAATGTAATGGTGGTGGGATGCCCCATTCTAGGGGCCAGGTTCTCAAGGTTCCATCACCTCCCATGACTTCTGGTGGGGGCCAGTTCTGAGAGGCCCTCCCCACACCGGGGACCCCTGCCTCAGTGCCCCTCAGGAAGCCGGGGCAAGTGCCCTGGGCTTGCTGTTTGAGGGCCGCTGCCTGCACAGCCGCTCTCTCCAGCCCGCCCAGCGCATCCTCTCTTAGCCCCTCCCCTGCTCTTAGGAAATGCACTTGCTTACCCGATGGCCATCATGTGGGCCCTAAGCCCTGCCTCTGAACTTCCCCTCTAGCCACACCCTGCCTGCTCCCACCCCCGAATGTCTCCTACCTTTACTACCCCTAGGAGGGGCAGGGGAAAGAATGAGCGTTTATCAAACCCCCACGAAATGCCAAGCACTTTAGTGTCTATGCCTGTATCATTTCATATCGCTCTAGAAGACAGTAACTGCCACCATTTAAAGGTGAGGACGCTGAAGCTCCGTGAGGCTCAGGGATTTACCCAAGGCCACCTGAATACGTGGAGGGACTGGAACCGGAACCTAAACCTGACTTCCCTGCAACGGCTGTGTCTGCACCAATCACACTCTCAGCACATGCCTGCTGTGCGCTAGGCACTCCACTGGGTACTTTACATCATCAAAACCACCCTTCCAGCAGGTCTTCTTATTCCCATTTTATAGGCGAGACAACGGAGCTCAGAAGGTTAAGTAACATGCTGACAGCGGCTGAGGTTAATGTGATGTGCCTACTTGGCCAGGCCATGGTACCCAGTTTTTGGTCAAACATGAGTCCCGATGTTGCTGCGGAGGTGTTTTTAGGGGTAATTAACAAACCACCACTCTGATGGGAGCAGGCCCGAAGGAAGGAGGAATTCTGTCTCCCGACTGCATCTGGGCTCCAACATCACCTTCCCTGGGTGTCCACCCTGCTGGCCTCTCCTATAGTTTAGACTCGCTAGTCCTCACAGCTGCTTGAGCCAAGTCCTTAAACTAAAACTCCCAGTCTCCCTCCCTCGCTCTCTATACACACTCACACACACACACACGCTATTGGATTTGTTTCTCTAGAGAACCCCAACACAGTGATGGTGAGGTTTATACAGGCCTTGGGCTTACCCGCTGCACTCTTCAACTTCCCATACATATAAACACGTGCTCATTCCTCCTGATCAATATTGTGATTATGATAAACAACGAGACACACCACTGCTGGGAATGACACTGTGCATCACTCACTGTTTGGACTTGGCATAAACACTAGCCCCTCCCCCAGAGAGTGAAGTATCAGTGGCACTATCTTTGATTACAAGCTGGGCAAATAGACACTATTGACCTTACTCCCTCACTAAGTGCGCTGAGTACCCTGCGTGTCTAGTCTCCATTGCCAGAGGCATGCTGCTGTCTGAGCTGGGAGGCCCGGAGGGGCTGGCCCTGACTGTTTACTTTGCTGGCAGAACCGCACAGAACACAGCTTCTGGAGTCAGGGCCAGTTCTGCAGGGTTACCCAGCAGCCTCCTTCCTCCTGCTGTCCTGTCTGCCTGGACAGCGGGCTCCTCGGGGCAGCCACCCAGCCTCGTCCGCTGAATGGCTGCCTGGACGCCCACTAAGCACTTGCTGGGAGGAGGTGCCAAGGCCAAGAGGAAGGACACTTTATCTTCCTCAGCCCCACACCAAGGCCCTGACCTTTTTCTCGGGATGACTGGGATGTTCATCACTGAAAAGGGGGTGGGGTGAAGACAGGAGTGGGGTGTGAGCACCAGCTCCAGCTCCCCCCGCCTCCACCCAGTCGGGGGACCCTGGGCATTCGAGTGTCCTGAGCGCTAACGATGAGGCCTGTCCTCCCTGCCTCCCTGCGGGGGAGGAGGAGGTGCTGGCAGGTCCAGAGATGCAATCAGTGCAGAAGCTCTGGAGGGTCAGGAGGAAGCAACTGTGCAGCCTTCCTGCTGTTTTAGGCTCAAGCTGCACCCCATCCTCAGGGGTCCCTGAGGGGACTCTGGAGGGTAAATCACAGACTCATGGGGTGGGGCAGGGGACCAGCAGGTGCCGAGAGCTGTGGCGTGTCCCAGCACCATTTACTCCTCACCTGGCTGGCCCTTGAGGTGGGTAGGACGAAGCCTTTAAAGGGGAGGAGACTGGGGCACGGTGAGGGCCGCAGCTCCCAGTGCAGACCTGGGACTCCTGCCCTGGTGTGAGATCCCCAACACGGACAGGTGAGGCTGCCTCCAGAGCCCTCACCTGCAGCCTTTTTGTTTTTAACCTTTTAAATAAAAGCAATGTAACTGCTTTTTAAAGTAAGAGAGCACTCCAGGCCTGCTGGGAAAAACACACAGGGTGCGGAGCAGCTTATGGCAGATCCTCTCCACCCATGAGCCCACGTGTGAGTGAGCCCCTCTCGTCCTTTGTGTGTACTCCCCCAGTGCCTTCTGTGATGCATGAGGGCTGTTTTTAAGTTTTCAGCTGATGGAGTGGAGATTCCTTTTTATTACTATTATTATTGATATTTTTTAGAGAGAGAGGAAGAGAGAAAAGGGGGGGGGGGGGGGGGGGAAAAAAAAAAAAAAAAAAATGGGCCGGGAGAAACATCCATCGGCTGCCTCCAGCATGACCCCTACTGGGGATTGAGCCCGAAACCTAGGTATGTGCCCTGACCGGGAACTGAACTCTTGACCTTTTGGTGCACAGGACGATGACCAACTGAGCCACACCAACCAGGGCATATGTAAGGATTTTTAAACAATGGGATGTCCAATCTGTCAGGAATGTGCTCTCCTGTCAGCACACTCAGACCTACCTTATCCTTTTCAATGACTCCAGCATTCCACAGTTTACATAACCAGTTCCCCACAGATGGGCGCTCTCCAATTTTTGCTTTCAGGAACAGAGCTGCAGTAAACAAGTGTGGCCATCTCCGTGCAACTGAGCGAGTGTTTACGGGGACACACTCCTAGGAGGGGACGCAGGGCCCAGGAAACACACATGCAAAGTGCTGGCTGCTGCCCTCCACTCCTGCGGCTACCGGGCAGTGTCCTCACGCTCTGGCCAACACGTTCCTCTCTGCCAATCTCACCTGAAGACACCTTCTTGGATCGGGGAGACTGAAAAATGTTTTGTGTTTTCTAGCCATTTGTATTTGTCCTACCGAGAACTGCCTATTTCTACTTGCCTGTTGCGTGGCTTGTCTTGTACTTTGTGGGAAGTTTACCTATATTATGGCTTTAACATATGGTAATTATGTTAAACAATCCCCTCCTGTTTCAATTACTGAGCAAGGAAGTCTTTTTACCTCCACTTCACTGATTTATTGATAAACGGAATCCATCAAGCACAGGGTGGCTGGGCAAATTCTTCCCCAGACATCCCCCCTTGTGCCCTAAATCCCGCTGATAAAACTCCCCAGATGCCGTCACCGCGCTCACCTCGCCCTGAAGAGGAAGCTCTGAGAAACCCAGGACTTGCTTTGCAGGTTGAAAGCAGCGTGGCTCAAGGATTCGGGCTCTCTTAGTGCAGGCCCAGGCAGGAGACTGTCCTACCTCAACAGTGCCTGCCCGCAGCCTTAACTCGTCTTACTGATTTTTAGGCGGGGGGGGGGGGGGGGGGGGGGCAATGTGAAAGTGAAATATGTTTTTATTGATTTCAGGGAGAGGAAGAGAGAGAGAGATAGAAACATTAATGATGAGAGAATCATTGATCGACTGCCTCCTGCTAAGGATCCAGCCAGCAACCTGAGCAGGTGCCCTTGCAGCAAAAGGAACTGGAAACCTTTTGGTAAACAGGACAATACCCAAGCTACTGAGCCACACCAGCCGGGGCCCCCCACTTTAACTTTTATCTCTGACACCACCCAACTCCTTCTCCCCAGGAGGCACAGGGATCCAGAGCCCGTCCTTATGAGACAGGCCTGCTCCTCTGCCTTGAATCAGCAGCTGTGGCAGGATCTCCATCAGCTGAAACCAGCAGCAAGGTCAGCGTGTCCCCTCCTGGCAGTGTATCCTGGTCCCAGTTCCTTCCCAAGGGAAGGGAGCAAGGATCAGCGGGCTGTGATGGCGCTCAGGCAGCTGGGCAGGGAGCAGGGAAAGCCAGGGGCTGAGAGAAGTGGGTCTGGGTGCCCTTGAAGGTAGACACAATGCCATGATGGGATGATGAAGATGCTGACAGACAGTACAAGGTACCAGAGAAAACTGTCTACACTGCTGCTGACAGTGGGTAAAGGGAACCAACAAGTGAAATAAGAGGAGCTAAAAACTGGCTGCACAAAAGTAATATTCGTTACAGTTAATCACACCAACTGCTCAGCACTGATGCCGCATTGCGGTGCAGCTCCATGGCGTGTACAATTAGCACCAGACAACTGAGCTGTGTGCTCTGAGTGATCATGACAATCACAGCTACAGGGATCTTTCTAGTCTGTGGCTGTTAATCAGATGGGTCCGTTGCAGTAGTCGTGGTGGAACAACCATGACAACATGCATGACGCACGCAAATTCCAGTAACTCTCACAGAGCCCACTCTCCACCCCCTGGGATCCTGTCTGTTGTACAGAACGAAGTGGTGCCCCTGCCCACAGTCCTGCCGCTGATGAGCAGCACAGCGGGGAGTGAGGCAGGCCTGCGGCTCCAGCCCTACGGCCACTCCTCTGCACACCCGCCCCCCACCAGGCTGTGTGAGGGCCAGCTCCTGTCCCCGCCCTCCTCACCTGTGTAGCTGCTGGAGGGAAGCGGGTGCTCTGGCTCTCCATTGAGCTCTGCAGCTCCTTGTGTCTCTGCCACTTCCTCTTTCTCCTCCTCTTCCCGGACCTCAGGGGCTTCCTCCGGTGGCTGCTCCATGGCTGATTTCCCCTCGGCGCCACGCCTGCAGGCCCGGTCATAGCTCTGGCATCATCTGGGTCTGGACGCAGATGGACCCCAGGGCAGTTCCGTCAGCCTGGGCAAAGGGGAAGACAGGAAGAGGATGAGAGGGCGGTGGGAGTGGGGCATGGCTCAGGGCCATCGGGGGCCAGCAGAGCAGGGGCACCTCACCTGCAGGGTTCTCCCACGGTCTCCACTCCTCGCATCGAGGTCACTTCCCCTCCCACCCTTTGCCCATTGGCTCTTGCAGCAGGTCTGTGGGGCTCAGAGCAGTTCCCATCACCCAGACGGGGTGACACACCCCTCTGCTACCTTTCCCTGCCTCCTTGGCAGCATCCTGCCCTTTGAGTTCCCGGAGTTTTCAGGAGACACACGAGAAAGCCTTGAGGGCTTTTCAAATGCTCAGTCCCCTGGAGATCCTGCTGCGCATCACACCTCCAGCCCCATCCGGCCGCACCAGTACCCAGGTCCCAGGATCACTGCTCTCCAAAGCCACCTTCGTGAAGGAAGTGTTAGGGTGGATAAAAGGCGTGAGCTCCGGCCAGGCTCGCTCACAGCGACAGCAGATCTGCAGAGCCACCAGGCAAGGGAGACACTCTGTCCTGGAATCTCCCAAACGGTGGGCTCCTAGATGGTGACCCCCATGTTTACACCACCAGGAGGAGATGGTTCTAACCCTCTGCAACTAAGATATTGTCACAAATGCCACAGTTAGAGGTGTAAGCGCCTGAGGGGGGCGGGAGGCCTTCCTGCAGGGAACAGTAGGGAGAGGTCCGAGAGGGGTGGATTTTGAGCAGGGGAGATGGTATGGAACTCCGCTTGGGGATACAGCTTGAGAAAAGTCTCAGAGGCAGCACAGTGGGGACCGGCGGGGAGTCCTGTTGGCTGGGGAGTGAGGTGCTAGGAGAGAGGACCTGGCGGGGTGGCCGGGAAGGTGGGTTGTGGCCAGGCATGTGTGCTTCAGAGCCCTGACCCTGGGAGTGAGACGGACCTCATCCCACGTCAGGACAGGCCTGGAAGAGCCAGGAGCAGAATAGACCTGCTCTAGAGAGAGTCAAGCATCTGTGGAACCCCTTATCTTGAGGTCCCACAGGCAGCTCAAACTCAACCTATCCCAACAGAACCCACCATCTCCCCCCACACTCCCCCTTCCTCTGTAACCCCGTTTTAGTGACCCACACGCCCATCTACCCACTTATCAAAGCCAGACGCCATCAGAGATCCTCCCTCTCTCACCCTGCTCCAGGCTTGCAAACTTGGCTGCACTGGAGTCACTGGGGAGTGTGGTGATCTGGATGTCTGCACTCCTCCCAGAGATCCTCATTTGATGGGTCTGGGAGCAGCTTGGACATCGGAATTTTTGTTTTATTCCCCTGGTGATTGTAACCATTCCTTCCCATCAGGCCTTCATCTTCCCGCTTGGACTGACACAATAATCCCTCAGTTGGTCTCCTGAGGCAGTTTGGAAATCAGCCCCAGAGTCTAAGCTGGGGGCATCCTTGTTGATGTGACAGCCACAGGAGGGATTCAGCTCACCAAGGGAGACAGTGACATATCAGGGAAGGACAGAAAGAGGCACCAGAGCAGACAACAGGGCAGTGGCCAGAGGTAGGACGAACTTGGGACAGCCTGCGTCTCAGAGCCAAGGGAAGGGCTGTTTTCAGGGGGAAGGGGTCAACCGGCTCCAATGCTGCAGGGCTATAGGGCGATAACTGATACCACTGGATGCAGTGACTGTGAGGTCATCAACGACCTCGTGAAGCAAGTGTCAGCCAAGTGGTTGGGATGGACACCAGGCTCTGAAGAATCAGTGCTAGCGAGGAAGCTGGGACAGTGGGGGGAGGGTAATTTTTGGTGACTGTGTCAGGGAAAGAAATGTATACACACTAGACTGAGATAGTAGCAAAGCTGGGGAGAGGTTTTTCAGAATAAAGGAAACTCAAATAAGCTGTGGGCAGAGGAGAGGTCTGCGGCGAAAGACAGGAAGATCCAAGGGGGAAGCCAGGACAGGATGACTGATGGGAGGGGAATGATTCAAGGGCCCAGGATGAGGAAAATATGAAGAAGCATCATAGCAGTGTGTGTACGTGTGTGTATGGGGGGAGGGGGGGATAAAGTTCACGTGGAATGGCCTCACAGAGTAGAAGATGGGACTTGAAGAAAGCAAAGGGCTGGGGGGAGGAGAGGCACTCTGGCAAACATGGTAGGGAATGAGCTGGAAAAGAATAAAAAGAATTAAAGGAAAGCTACAATAACTGAAACACGGCAGTACTGGCACCTGAACAGACAATCAATAAAGAGAATACAAAAGTCTATAAATAGATGCAAACACATATGGAGCTTTAATATGTTATAAAGACACCACTTCAAATCAAAGGGGAAAGATGGATCCTTCAATAAATGGTATGTAGTGATCCCTACCTTACACCTTATACCAAGACAAGGCCCAAACAAATCAACGATTTTTAAGTGAAAACAAAACAGACACTATACCAATAGTCTGGAGATGGGGGGAAGAGCTAAGAATGACAAAATCCGTAAGACTTTATGGGTTAAAAGAGTATGGGTAAAGATTAGTAAATTTGATTACAAAAAATATAAACTTTCTACATGGTAAAAAAAAAAAAAGCATAAGAAAGAAACAGATAATAAACTGAGAAAAAGATTTGCAGCTCTCATTAGATAAAGGGCAAATTTCCCTAAATAGTTCCTGCAAATTAATAAGCAAAAGACCAGCAATCCAATAATAAAATGGGCCGAGGATATAAAAAATGTGTACAGAGCCCAGCCGGTGTGGCTCAGTTGGCTGAGCATTGTCCCATGCACCAAGAGGTGGCTGGTTCGATTCCTGGTCAGGGCACATGTCTGGGTTTTGAGCTCAATTTCCAGTAGGGGACATGCAGAAGGCAACTGATCGATGTTTCTTTTTTTTTAAAATATATATTTTATTGATTTTTTACAGAGAGGAAGGGAGAGGGATAGAGAGCCAGAAACATCAATGAGAGAGAAACATTGATCAGCTGCCTCCTGCACGCCCCCCACTGGGGATGTGCCCGCAACCAAGGTACATGCCCTCGACCGGAATCGAACCTGGGACCCTTGAGTCCGCAGGCTGACGCTCTATCCACTGAGCTAAACCGGTTCTGGCGATCGATGTTTCTATCTCATTGATGTTTCTATCTCATTCTCTCCCTCTCCCGTCCTCTCTCTCTTAAAAAAAAAAAAAATCAATCAAAACATATTTTAAAAATGCATACAGAAAAGGTATACCTTTGGCTCTTAAATATGTGAAAAGATGCTCATCATCATTAATAAAAAGAGAAATGCAAATTAAAACAACACTGAAATACACTTTTTAAGATCAGATTAAAACAAATGCTAACACATTGTTCTAGGCACGTGGGAAATATAATCTCACACATCCCTGGTGGAAAGGTAAACTGGCACAACCTCTACAGAGGCTGATTTGGCTACATCTATCCGAATTACAAGCACACCTTCCCTTTGACCCAGAGACACCACTTGCAGCTTGTAACATAAGCTCTACCTCCACTTGAGCAAAACAACACAATGTTTTAGTACAAGGTTACTCATTACAGTGCTATTTGACTAGTAGGAGGTGGGGAACCACCTCGAAGTCCATTAACAAGGACTTATGAAACAAATCATGACATGGAAACATGCAGTTCTATGCAGCCATAAAGAACAATGACGTCATGGACTGGCAATGGAAGTCAAATACTCAAGGAAAATTTTCAAAGGTAACAAGATACCATACATAGGAACATATAACTTCCAAACTATTACGGTGGATGGGGAAACTTAGAAGTCGTGTGGAACGCTAGCTTTCTGCCTGAGAAAGTCTCACAGACAGGACTATGGAGACAGAACCACCACTGCCACGTAGGATGGTGGACTGGGTGCTGACACAGAAAGGACAGTGGTGGAAAAACGGGGAGTTCCAGACAATCCCGCGGAACTGAGTGAATGGCGTGTCCAGGGCCCATCTTAGTCTGGACGGGGTAGGATGCTTACCTAAGACGTCACTGCTGGGGAAGCGGATGACGCCCGCAGGAGCCTGGCCACTGCTCTGCGGAACTAGCCCCGAACGCCCACCTCAGACTACTTGTTAGGTGAACACATTAGAGGCCTGTTTCCACGGCACTGCACACAGCTGAACACAGTCCTCAGTGAGCAGGACAGGAGGACCCTTAGCTAAGGAGAGTGGGACTTGGGGAGGGGCTGCTGACAACACTGGCCAAGGACCTTGGCGATCACCGAGGGCAGCCTGTGACTGCGAGGAATGTACTGAACTCTCTAAAGAAATTAGCTTTTGTCCAAATCACAAGGACCAGAGACACTGATTCTTTGTGCTTCACGGAACTGAAACGTCTGGAGGTAGAGGGGCAGGGGCAGGTGAGGGAGGAGGCCCATGGCTGAAGGGCTGCAGGAGGTTTGAGTAGCATCAAGAGGATGAGCTGCTCAGTGACAGAGGGTCAGACAATGTGACGTCTACGAGCCATGAGGTCAGTGGTGGCACTGACACAGGGGGAAATGCACACCAGTGGTGATGGGAGCCAGTGAGTGGGGGACATGAAGATTTGGGGGTTCCCCCTAGCAGGCAGAAACAGAGGAGCAAAAACTGCAACACTGCCTTGTATAGACACTTGACAAAATATTTTCTCACACATTGCCTCATGCCCTCTGAGTGACCTTGGGAGATGGGAGCAGAGTTCATTGTCGTGCCTGAATCCTGGAGGGCGGGGAGGCACCTGCTGGGTACACGATCAACAGGCCCTGCTCAGTCCTCCAAGCCCCATAAGGAGAGCCTTGTGTGTTCCCTGGGCACATGAGGGGAGTGAAAACACCCAGGCCCGCAGAGCCTGACAGGGTGTCCCTGCAACACACCAGAGGATGACGTCGACGACCATGGGGTTTCAGACACAATGGAGTGGCAGCCTGGCTAGGCCTTGGCGAGCTGTGTGCCCGATACCCCTGAGCCTCAGCTTCCGCTTCCCCACTAGCTGGCTGGTTAGGTCCCCATGCTCAGGGCTACTGTTCTCAGAGTCTGGGGTG